TTCCAGTTTTTAAGATGCAAAAATAAGGTGGGGTGGAAAATGTTAATGTGTGAACAAAGTTGCAAACATGAGAGAAATGTAATAGATCGCGTTAACCGTTCTTCTTCCGCCCCAGATTGAAACTCGGCAGTAATTAATGTTTAACCACAATATTCCTGTTTTGTAATCGCAAAATTCCGCGCCGTCATATGGCACCAGAGCGGTACGCAGCTGGTAAAATGATTTACAGTTACGTAGTTTAGGTTGCCAATAATCTCACCTTTCCTACGAGCTCTGGCCATTTCTTCATGGTTGCGAAGATTCAACAATCCTAACAATAATATGATCGGCAGCTGATCGACAAGTTTCTGTTCACAGCCAGTGAGTGGGCAGAGTGGAGCACGCCCTCTAACGTCAGATTATTAAAAACAACGTGTATTCGTTGATAATCCACAGTATCCGGATAGTCAACAGTACGTCTATCCATATATAAAATATTATGAATTTCTAGGCATAAATCTGATTATAAAAGTGTCCTTGTCCATTTAAACAAAACAAGGGAAGACGTGGAAGGATTCATTCGAAATGCTTTGGGTAAACATACTGGTTGGACGAACTGTAATCGAAAATTTCTAGAAAAAAAAAAGAGATGCAAACACGAGATTAAAATATCAGAACGAGGCATTTATGATAAGCAGCAAAATTTCTCAGACTCTTAGTCTTTCTTTCGATTTTCTTTATCCAGTATTAGTTTTGAGAGATTAGAAACATTCCAAATACTCAGTACATCCTTAATACAAACCGTATCAAATCTTCGTCCAGTATTTATCAATATCGCATTTTTAAATTTATTGACGGAGGACAGACGTCATTAAGTTATCTGCGCACCAGTATAAAGTAATTCTGATGTGTGGCAGAAGTCGGTAATTTTCCAACGCTGGAATAAGCTGCTTGTACTAGTTATTACATTTATTTATTTTTTTTTCTTCTGTTTTTAATATGGATCGTAAGGTCTGAATTATAGTGTAATAATGGCATGCATGTCCCCCTTGAACTACGGTACTGTAAATACTTTCTTTTCGCTTGGAATTAATTTTCACTGAAGGAATGATTCAGTGAAAATAAAATCCAGCAAATATATTTTTTTTCCTATATTTTACATTCAAATCAGTGAAAATAAAATCCACACAAAACACCCAAAAAGTCTTTTCAGCGAAAAATAATGCCAATTAAAATATAGTATTTCACAGTAAATGGAATGTTGTTCACTTCAAATTTCAATGACATCATAAACTATGGGGTTAGGAAGAAAATTCAGTGATTATGAAACAGAAGAGTCACATCATGTGTTGTATTCCAAACAAGTTTGAACGAAATTAACACAGGTATCTTAAGTTTTAAGGCTTTTTTTTAAACCAATATGGCTAATATTCAAAGACAATTCACCAAATCTAGAAAATGTTGTCGGTTTAGTATCTTTTTTTATCCCAGAGTTTTGATCCCCATATTCAGTTTTTGTGTACATTCTAATAACATTGGGACATTCGTGTTGACATTATGCTTCATATTATAACATACAATAGAGAAGTAAAACAAAGAACACACACATTTATACTTTGCTTTATATTATTTTTTACTGTCACGTTTAGTGTTAACATGGTAATACATTCCTCCTTAGTCAATTTAAATATACAGGAAGAAAGTCAAATAATAAAAATATGCAAAAAAAAAAAAAAATCTTGGCATGAAATTCAGCAGTTCATGTCCAGGTACTGTTGATTCATTTCTAGATACGCGATGCAAAAAACTTCACCATTAAATAAAAAAAACTACTAAAAATTGTCAGTCATGGGAAGTCAATGACTTAAAATTAATAATCAGGAAAGAGGGCATAGGGCCCCCTAAGTTAATAATAGAAGGCAGATTTGAAACTGTGCAAACCATGACTGCAACATGAAAAGAAACCTACAAAGAACATGAATACATTTTTGTTGGTGGCATTAGTATATGTAGATGAATACATGATATTTTTTTATGCATTTGATATGCATAGTGAAATGTTTTTTTGAAAAGACACTACCAACAGAATCACTTGCAAGTCAAAAAAAGCATTTGTTGCATTCAACACAAGTATCAACTTGGATTATAAATGTCTGCTAAACAAACTGACAGTTACAACTTTAAGTTATGTAATCATTACCTCTATGGAATCACTGAGTCCTGTAAACTGATTAATTTTTAGGTGCTAGGAAATTCTCAATTTGACAAAATTTATAGAAGATAACATTTCTTGCTCAAGTGTGTTTAAGAATTCTAGAGATTTGCTCAGTGACACTTGTGGTTCTTTAATTTCTTGTGTATTTCCAAGGAGACCTGGTAAACAGTTACTTTAATTGCTGTTGTATGTCATGAAGCTGTTGCTCCATGTACTTTGTTTGCGTTGTGCATTTTTGTCAGATGAGCTTTTTTTTATCTCTACACTTTTTTGCAAAGGTGCAATCCGTCATGTGTTAAATCAACATTCCTAGATGTAATTAGCAAGCACAAAACAGATTCTATGATGTCAGACTTTACCCATAATCCTTTGCTTGAGAATCAAGATGGCTGACTACATAATACTGATATAAAGTTGAATATCTAGAGAATGAAAAGTGATATTAAAAAATGTAAATTGCATTCTCCTACATTTGTTGAGCTTTTTCTTTAGGGGTCATTATGTTGTTTGGATTGATGTTTCCTTTAATGCCCGCTAAGAATTCAATGTTATCCGTTTATTGCGCTTATTGGCTAGCTCATTTCACGCAGTGTTCTCGTATTATTGAACAAAACAATTCCGCCAACTGGAGAAAAGAATATGTCCCTTTGTTTTATCGAAGGTTGGCGATGACCCCAAGAAGCAGTATCATTTGTATGTTGTTGGGGGACTGTGTAAGTAGCATTTACAACAGAAATTGTTTAAAGGGCGGTGTTCGTCACGCAGGAAGTGTTCGAATGTCATGTAAACAAACAATGTATTTTACACGCGTTGCGTATGTCGCTATGAGTTCTGTATCGAACACAACGCGGCGCGACGACCAACGGCCTTTAATTGTTTTTTTTTACGAAACCTGCAAATTCAAAGTTCCAAGACTTGAATCAGTGCCATTAAGATGAAGACTTCTGTTTACTAGTAAACATGGAGGGCAACTTTCAAGACTCGTAACAAATACAAACACATTATGTTATAAATACTTAAATGTCAAGTTGCCAGTGTTGTACATGTAGAAAGGCATCAATTATAATCCTCCATAGCAGTTAAATGGACATGCATACCCACACCATGAAAGGTAATAATGTAGGTGATTTTAAAGTCTCAAATCAAATGTGCCCTCACAGATAGATCGAGTTATTGAAGTGCCTCTGCGCATTTTCACTATTAACCATTGTGCCAGCACAGGTGGCGCTATTCATCATAGCGGCGTTTTGCGTGTCAATGCACTATTAACATTAAAACAGCTGTGCTCACGCCCCACCCCAAGTTTTTGTGCAGTACAGAAAGAATTTAGCACGCTATCTAGCACTCATGGCAGTATCCTCCGTCCACCCAAGCTACTCATTCTCGAATCCCCGAGCAAGTCTATATTTTCACCACAGTTAAATGTTAAAGTGCATGCGCAGGAATTTAGTCCGGTCCCAAGCGACGATAACAACACACGCTAAAAAACGCAAAGGCTCATGGATAGACACTTGTTTGTAAACAATGACATGACACATGCACAGGTGGTTTCTCCCCCGCTGTAAATCACCTTTTGATTACACTGACTGGGCACTAAGTTGTGTTTATGAATTAATCGAGCAAATATTGAAATATACCTTTTAATCGGAAAATTACATTTGAAATAAATTATTCTAATTTGCATATATAGCACAGCTCCATTGTGTCAACACAGGTGGCGCTATTGGTTTGCGGCGATCTGCGTGTCAATGAGCACAGCTCTGAATTCTTAGTTTCCATCATTCACTGATATATATTTTTAAATAATTCGGTCATATTGTATGTTCCATAAAATCTGACAGTGGTAGCTTTTCAACCAATCATCGGGGGTCTGGCAACTTTTCCATTTTCTTCGATAAATATACGTACTCTGGTTTCTACGTAATCACAAGTGACTCCATGGTCGGCTGGGATGATTTGAACCTGTGGGAAATCGGAACACGAAATGAAATGATGTAATGTCGAGAGAGGGGCGGTGTTTAAAAGAAGCGTACAGTTATGTTGTCAGTAAATTTTCATCGGTCACAGCCGATCACGGTTATTCCTTTGCATGTATATTGCATATTCACATTTGTCACTCAGTCAAGGTCCATGCATACTCAAATTCCCAAACTATGGACATTGTACAAATTCAAAAGGTGATGGTCGTCGTGTTAGAAGCATATGGGTAAACCAAGAAACACCAGGTTGGAAAGGTAAAAATGGTACTGTATCAGAGGAATATTCATTCCGGTACTTC